CGGGAGACGGGACGCAAGAAAGCGAGGGCCCAACGCCTTCCCCCCTCCCAGTCCCTCCTCCCCCCCCCCCCCCTGCCCCACCCCCTCCCCAGGTACCCTTACCTGGCCCGGCGCAGCGTTATCACAGGCAAAAGGCTCGTAGTTCTCTTCCAACTGGGGTGGGTTATCATTGACATCCAGAATTTGAATGGCCACATGGACCTGGGAGCCCCGTGTGGGGCTGTCTGAGAGCAAGAGTCAGGGGTAAGGAGCAACATGGAGCCAAGCGACAAGATGCGCCAGACAATTCAGTCGAAAGGCGGGAAGACAGGCAGACCGCCGAGAACAAGTCATTGACCGACGAGGACACAAGATCCAAAAGGGAGGAGGAATTCACCCACGCAAGGAAGCCATGCAGGTCATCCATTGTGACCCAGTGCGATACAGGGCCCCAAATCCAGTGGGGTTGGGTGGGATCCCATTCATAACCCCCCGAAAGATGCCATCGTCGAAAAGATGGAGGCGCCCCACGCAGACCAGCAGAACCAGACAGGCGAGAATCACATCAAGAGGTTGAAAGATGTTGGCAGACGTGCAGAGCCAAAAGGATGGAAGCAAGCAACAGCGCATGATGAACCATATTTGTGCATGGGTAGGCAAACATAAATGTCCAACGTGACCAACAAGCGAAATCAGGCAGCCATATACAACCAGCCAGCCAACACAGGCCATCGATCAGTCAATCAATCCATCAAAGCACAGGGAAACACACAGAAAACAGGGCCCCACTCCACAATGTGGGTGTGCAAAAAAGTGCACCGTTCCCCCATCCGACGTGCAAGACAAAAACAGAGAGTAGAAACCATTCCAAGCGACCGGCAAACAGGGATGCAGAAAGGAAGAAGGGAAAGAAGGGGAAAAAAATTAATAAACAATGGTCATTGCCTTCTCTATACGCTCCTGCACCGAAGAATCAAAATATGAAAAATATATATTTCCAGTGAAAACCTCCCACCGCCCCGGATCCCGCCCGCCACACCGAGCCCAATCCGCCCGGCCCTTACCAAGTTCCGTTGCCAGGACGGTCATATTGTGCCAGGGCAAAACCTCTCGGTCAAGAGGCACCGAGGTCAGAATCGTGCCATCCTGGGGGTTGATGCTGAAATAGCGCTCCAGGTCCGTGTGCGGCAAGATGGAGTATCTGGAAGATGGAGGGGGGGAACCTGGGGTATCAGGTTGTCATGGCAACGAGGTATAAATGGAGTAACTGGAACTTCACACACACACAGAGACAACAAACACCGGTTCCCACCCTGCGGTTTCGACGTTCCCCCCAGCCATTACCGGATGACACTGCTGGGGGAATCAAGGTCCACCGCCGAGACTTTGCCCACGAGAGTCCCCGGAGGGCCGTTCTCATAAACGGCCAGATGATACTCGGGACGGGAGAAGGCTGGGGGCTCGTCAGCATCTTCCACCGTCACGCGGACGGTGGCCACGTCCTTGAAAGGGCCCTTCCGGATGTACTGGGGGTCGATAAGCGTGTTGGTGGCCTCCACTCGGAAGGTGTAAGAGCGGCGGGATTCATAATCCAGAGGCTGCCCATCAGCCCAAGGAGAGGTGTGGAGAAGTGGGAAAGAGGAACAGCAACGAGAAAAAACTTATTATCAGAAGCAGGCGGGGGTAGACGCCACAGCGAGTTTGGGAAGTATGTGAAAATAGCCGAGAATGGTAGGTGAGATCTCTAAGGCCCCATGTTGTCCAAGGAAAAATCAGATAATGGCTCCAGGAAGGAAGGAAGGCTGGAGAAGTCCTTCATTCTGGGGTTCTTCACCAACCTTTTTCACAGTGATGATCCCATCCTGCCCCAGCATGTCAGTGTGAATGGCAAAGGCCTCGGATCCATCTCCATCCAGGATACTGTACGCAAGCAGGGCGTTCTCCCCTTCGTCAGGATCATGCGCGCGCAGTCTCCCCACTGCGGACCCAGGAGGTGCTGTTTCCACCACAGAAAACTGGTAAGAACCTAGAGTTTTGGAAAGAGGGTGGGAGAGGCACGGAAGGGGCATAAGATACCTTCCTTCCCAGACTTCCTACATCATTTGGAACTTGGTGTCCTCCAGCTGCGTTGGACTACAATTTCTGTCCTACTCAGCCACGCTCTGGTGATGGCTAGAGTCATGTTCCCCAACTCTAGGGTTGGAGCGATTTCAGATCCAGGTTCTTCCTTTGCCATCAGCTGTCTTGCTCCAAGGAGCATGTGAGCTGGAAGCTCTCCATGGCATTGCTTGCTGGACATAATTATTCCAATGTTAGTCTACTTCTCCTGATCTTTAGTCCCTGCCTCTCTGGCCCATCTATTTCACACCTCATGAATATGAACCTGTCAGGCAGCTGCTAAAAATTGATGGATTGGTGGGCTGGCTGGCTTAAAATATTTATAGTCCCCCTGCTATCCAGGTGATCTGGTGGTGGGTTGTAATCCATAAAAGGAATCCTGTGGTATCAACACACAGAAGAGGCAGCAGTGGAGTGCAGAGAGACTTCTAAGGGACAAAGAACATGTGGACAATCTGTCCTGGAGGCAAGAATGAAAAGCCATGTTTTTGCCAGGCCTTGAAAGGCAGATACAGTAATACCTTGGTTCACGAACGCTTCTGTTCATGAACAATTCGGTTCACGAACAGCACCGCTCGCAAAATTTTGCTTCCGTTCGCGAACTCCGCATTGGGTGACGAACACGACCCGTGGCCATTTTCCCCACTGTGACACGTGGTCGTGGCTTCCTGTAGGGAGGGGGACTCTCCCTCCAAACGATAACCGCCTCCCCACCCGCCTTCCTGTCCTCCACGCCAGAAGTCGCCTTGAGCAAGGTTAGCGTTCTCTCT